ATATTTCCTCAATGTCCCATTATGTTAATGAAAATTCAATGCACATGTTGAGATGTGAATCAGTCCCTGGACACTGCTGAGGAAACATGATTTAAATGCTTCGAAAGCGATTTCAAAAGCACACATAAAACAGGCAGAAAAAATTTTGCTACGTTCCATTTTTCACTATGCCTTACTGCAAAATATTCTTCTTATATAGACCACCACTATACCTTCACTTGAAAGTGGCAGACTTTCTCCCTGTTAATTTGTCCAATATTCTGTAGAGAACACTGATTGGATTTGGGGTAGAACAGCCGCTCTGAGTCACGTGCAATTGCAGAAAGAAGGAACGTCAGTCCTTTCTAAGTGAGTTGAGACTATTTCTACTATCTGATAAGGTTGATATTCTGGGGAATTTTGAACTACTCTCCGTAAATTAGACTACCGCCACATATAGTTGGCAAATTCAATAAAGAATGTGCTGGCTTAATCCTAGTTTTGAACATAGTTACCTTGGAAGAGAGTAGGAGCCCTGCTTCCCTCAAATTAATAGTTTGGGAAGTTATTTCTTCACGTTGTTGCTATTACACTATATGCCTTGATGCTAGTGATGATGATTAAATATTCACTCTTAACGTCACACATGTTAATTGTGATTGAAACCCCACCATTCTGCATGATACAGCAATGTAGAAAAAAAGAATATCTGTTTGAGAGATGATTAAAATGAGAAAGGTAACAAATGTTGGGATATTACAGTTTCTCTCATTGGCCAATAATTTTATCTTTATAGTGGATATTGCACCACTTGAACAAATGTCAACTGATAAACATGGCAATGTATATCTAGCGTGAGGAAAACCTCATGAATTTAAGCTATTCGGTTATGTTTTTTACAATCCTACTAATACTTTGTAACGCCCTATAGAAAAAAAAAAAAAAGTCTTACAGGAGGCCAAAAAAGCTTGATTCCATCTCCTGGTTCCCAGCAGACACAAACGCAGTTGGCGTTTTAATTTAAAAGATGAAAAAAATCAACTATACTACTGCATTGTGATAGTACTTAAATTTTACGTTCATAAATAGAGTTTAACTGGGTCCAGAGGGCCTAATTAGACCACCTGAAAGACATTCAAAGCTTTAACGGGTTTGGATCTAAATAGAATAGGTGAATGTTCTATACAGTGTAACTGCTAAGGATGGAGAGGAAACAAGAACCTAGGAACAATTTAGCAATAAAGTGCATTGCTGGAGTGATCATCTCTCCCAGCAGTTGACACTATGTGAAAAACAGAAGTAGATGGCTCTGGAAGGTGGAAGAAAGTGCACACTTTGGGATCTCTTTATTTTAGGTGAGCTGCTGGAGGCACAGAATAGGTGAACCAATTAAGCCAGCTAGGTACAAGAAAGCCTCTATGATCACATACAAAGCAGCTGCAGGTGATAAGAGTAGCTCTGTGATAGGTCCAAAATGGCAAAAGCTGAATGAGTTAAAGTTGTGATAACCCTGGAAGAGTCAACTCCAGCTAACAATTACGGGCAGTAAGAATGAACTGTGCAAGCTGCCTGTTACTGCCGCACTCAGAGGCTTGAGGATGCATAGGACATCTTCATCTCTCACACAAATGCACAATAAATGTGTATAGGTCTTTCAAATTTTTACATTTTAATCTAACCCTATTCTGTATGCTTCCTTTAGGTAAGCAACAAGGGTTGATCTAAATCCTCCTGATCACCGATAGTGAAGGTAGGCACTTTGGGTCAAAGTCCTACCCTTCCTATAAGTAAAATCTTCCTACTGAATGCAGTAGGAAAAGGATTTTTATTGTGGCTTATATTCTGATCAATAGACAAGTTTACAATCCTAAAAGTAGGAGTACATCCAAATAACCTACACATTTAAAAGAAACATTTTCTATACTTTAAGCCAATGAGATTGCATGTAGCTTTAGGTATGGAAAGTAAAATATGATATGCAGAGCACAATTTGAAAATGCAGTATCACCTTAAGGCAGAGAAAAGTATGCAAATGTATTTCTTGGGATTTTATCCTTCTTAATGGGATAGCACATGCAATGTAAAGTCTAAGTTTTCAGACATCAGTGGTCTTGGTAATTGTTTTGCTGTACAAATATTTCAAGAAATATGCATTTTAGGTGACAAAAACCCCCACTAGATTCTTGGTCAATATTTGAAAATGTAGTATATTTAAAATATACTAAAATATTTAAAATAGTAGAATTGTAGATATTGTTTGGAAGTTGTTATATGCCATGAACCATCCTTCTTAGATGCAGTCAATCTGTTTTGCAGGATAAGTGAATTTAATTATATGGATTATGACTGAAGAACATTGGCTGTGGCTCTGTTTAGTACAGACATAGCCTAACTTTCTTATAATGGAAGAATAATTAATTTTACCTTACATCTGTGGCTTCAGAACAAACTGATTCAGGTGCCATTTTCTTTTTTTTTCATGACTGGTAATCTTTATAAAATCTTGAAGTATTATAGAAACTAAGAAATCAAATTCTGTGCTAAATAGTAACTCTCTTCACATGCTAGAGTACAAATAGATTATCCCTTTCTAGTCTCAACCTGGCAGCTTTTCAGTGGTGCCATATAAATAAAAATTGCAGTATATTGGAGGAAAAAATACTACACATAAATGGAAAAAAAAGTACAATTATTTTATTATTCCTGAAATTATCAGTAAAGTAGAGTTATGTTTTCTGCTCCTTTTCCTCTTACCTTTGTTTTACTGTCAAAACAGGTAAATCCAAGAGCAAAGTCAACTGTGAAACACAGGGTATCCCCTTGCCAACTGCACACATATGTTTTAGACTGGGAAAAAAGCATGAATTTTGAGAGAACAGCCATCAGTTTCATTTAACATAGAAAAATAATGTTGTATATACATTTTGAGCATGAGAAGACACTCAACTGGTAATAGTACTATTGCTTTATATTATTGCATCTTAAATTAATAACAGCTTTTGTCATCAATGCAATGTCAGATCTGTTAGCTAGAGATTAATCGGAAGTCTTTTTTACATGTGTTCGTATTCCACAAAAAAAAAAAAAAAAAACACGTTCTTGGAAACCATCCTTTATAAAATGCAACATAGAACAAGCAATGCCAAACCTGACCATTTCAAAACTTTGAGAAAGCTGCTTATATCTGACCTACTAGTAGTTCAGCGCATCGTTTCCAACAAATGTACAGGTAACACTGTCTAAATATTTGGTGACTATAATCCATTTATGAAAGAACTGTCTGTTTACTTCAGACATTGAAGATATCCTTTTTGCAACATTTTCTTGTGTAAACTTGAGTGACATTCCACTTCAGTATTGTTGATTAATGCCAGCTAATATAATTTAATAATTAGAGCTAACTAGCACTAATTAACTAGTACCGCTACTTTCTAGACAGCACTATATATACACCAACTGTTTGATCTCTTTTTAGGCTAAAAAAAAAAAGTTATATTTAAACTTCAGAAAAAGCTTTCCAAAAAAAGTAAATGAAAAATTTCCTTTACATGCTACTCTTTTTGTAAGAGTAGATAACTTGGATGTATGTTGTATTCTGAAAGTAAAAGAGAAAATTTCAGCTTGATTACACTGAAGTCAATGGCAAAAATGCCACTGACCTTCGTATCAGCAGAGGTAAAGTCCTGCCTTCAGCCTTTCCTCACCAAAGTTTACAAGCTATTTTTAAAATGCTTAATATACCCTCATGTTTTATGAAAAGTTTTTTTTTTCTCCAAGAGAGCATCACACTATCATCTCACACTTAGACACTTGTTAATTAGAATTTTTGTACCTGGATAGTTTCTTTCAATGCCTAAAAATAGTTTTAACACACGAATGGCCAGGAGGAGATTGAAAGCATTAATAAGCTAGTTTAAGTTATCCCAAGTTTTCCACTTATTTATTGTTTAAGATATATTCAGTATAATGCAAAACTTTAGTATTTAGTATTTATGAAGGTTTTCACTATTCAAAAATATTTAAAGTTATATCAACGTAAATATTTCTGAGTTACTGATATAACATTTTATATAGATTTTTGAAAGGGCTTGGAATGACTCTCATGTATTCACAGACTAGTATTATAATCAGTCAAACAATGACAGAATTGTAAATTATTTCTGAATAAATTATTTTACTCATTGGTGATTTCAGTGATTGATACTCAACTATAGCATCATTTAAATATCCCAAAATTTTATATAGCAATTAAAATGTGGCCTTAAGCACCAGTTATAACTTATTCTCCATTATTTTCCAATTAAAAAGGTTATACTAGCTGAGCTCTGACTCAGCAAAGCAGTTTTAAAAAATCATAGTAAATTAGATCCCCCAATGAGTAAGCATCTAACTACACAGCTACAAATGGTGAATACTAAAATGAAGTATTCACAAATAATTAAGCCTGAAGTATTTTATGAATATTCAATATCTGCAATTAATGGAAATGATTTAGAAATTATTTGCAAATAAATACTAAAGACAAGTAGAACATGTTGCATTTTCAGCATGATAAATAATGCAAATAGATGTAATCAAGATTTACACTTACAAAAGACTAATAGCTCTTTTAACAACAGATACAGGTTGGGTTTTGCCATATAAAGTGGAGATAACAACTGTTATTAAATTTAAAAGCCTGCTTATGGCATATGCTCAATGACTCAATCTCTTAAATGCCTCCATAAGATAGACTCCCATCCCCACTCATTCACACTGGTACAGACCTCTGTCCCCTACCATTCTTGACTTTGGCAATAAGCTTCCTTTACACTTGCAATTATGGAATCACCCCTCGGTATCTGCAGCAATAGTCTGCATGGAAGTTTAATATTAGCAATCTGGGATTAGGTTTCTTTTAATGCAATTTTGGAGAAAAAATTATAGTCAGTACTGCGTATTAGCCAGCTCTCTGAGGCGCCCAGCTTGAGAACTCATAGTTTAAGCAATAGAGAGGAAAATAATTGATTATTAAAAAAAAAAAAAAAACTTCCTTACTGTTTGGAAATGAGATTTTCTGGGCTAAAATGTAATACTGGCTAATACAAAACACTTGGGTATGTACAGGTAAATGAGGGTCTGCAAAGTCTCAGCCTTAAGATATGCATTAAAATATTTTTCCAACATACAGTAATACTCTAACACCCACATTAATTTACCTAAATGCATTTACACAGATATATACATATGAAAATTCAAAACAATTGCAAATGTGGTACAGTGACAAAGTTTGATTGGCACTGCTGCAGACTAGATTAAATATTTTTCCAGCTTTAATCTTGGTGGCTCTGAAAGGTAGTAGGCATGTAGATTCAGTTCACTCCTGATGAGATTCTTTAGCCAAAGTATTAAAAATTTAACTGTTAAAAGGAAGGAGTTATGCCTACACCACAGGCATAACAGAAAATTGTTGTATATTTCCTGGTTCAATTATTTAATGTTTTCAATGTCCTATGATAGTGAAATGATGTGTAGAATTATTATTTGTAATAAAAGATGATTACAAAAGTCATCTCTGTATTCATTCAGGTACCACTATCTCAATGCATATACCTTTAAGTCATGAAAATATCATTAAGATGACAATATAACTGGCTAAATGGAGGGAGAACTGTGTTTTGGACTCATGCATAAAAGGAATCTCTTATACATTAGACTTTCTGTGCAAGGAAATTCCTACCTGACTTAAGCAAATCACTGAAACAAAGCTGAGATGTTGTCTGTTCAAGAGCACCTGGGGACTATGATTCCTGGGGAAGAGTGAGGAGAAGGTTGGGTAGAGTACAGAGTTTCATACTGCAGGTGAAGTTGGGCAGAAGAAAGGGTCTTGGAACCGAAATTATGGGGAAGTAGGTGCTGTATCTATGGACAGGAAGTGAAGGAGAGGTTTCAGCCCTGTGACAACATCAGCTAGATAGCAAATCTTCACCCCCATCCGTGACACACTTTGCACATCCATCAAAGCACTATACTACAATTTACTAATGTTTGGCTGCTTGGGAAATTTGACACTTTTTTTTCCCTAGCTGCATCACCAAAGAGTCAGTTAGTATCTTCCATGATAAGAGCACACCTCCTGGTATTTGCAGGTGGTAATTAGCACTGAAAATGTGGGTCAGGTACCTCCTAATTGAGAAAAACAGAAATGCTCTTTTCATGGTTGTGTTCCATGAGTTTTTACATCAGGGAGGGGACTAGGAACAGGTTGCTTCAATTCCCTTAAACAAAGACCGATGTAGAATTCTGAGCAACAATCAGAAGAGCTTTTCCAAATATGCTTGACAGCACGCCAATTCATTTCAAAACCATTTTTTATTATCATCAGTATGACCATCTTTGCTTCAGAAGGAAGGAATGTACTTGTGAATAGATCTGCTAACCTAATGAGGAGGCCTTTAAACCTCGTTCGTGGGGTTTGGGTACCTAAGTCCAGGGGTAAGGAAGCTTTGAAAACAGAGAATGAATGTGTGAGAAAAGGCTACCGCAGGAACTTTCATATCTATTTAGAAAGGAGGGCATTCAACAGTATACCTCAGGTGCCCGTACAGCAATGAATGAAGCTTAGGAAATGAAAAAAAAAAAAAAAAAAGAATTATAAGTTTATGTGCAGTCAATGGATGTTTAGGAAGGAGAGGCAAGGAAGAAGAGGTCCTCCTCACTTTTGAGTTGCCCTTTATGAAAAGGGGACTTCTGATCAGAAGATTTCTGATTTCAACAGAGACATGTAGCTTTCCTGTGTTAAGTGAAGACACACACCTCTGGATGCTGCAAGGACTGTGAGGTCCAACTGCTTCTGAATAAATCTAGACAGGCAATTGATTTTGTGGCTACTGGAATATTAACTCATTGAAATGCTTTGGCTTGGGTGCCTAAATTTGCCTAAGTCCTGTCATAGGTGTGAAAGGTAGTACCTCTGGATTTTTTTCCAAGACATAATCTTTTAATGTTCCTCTGACTTTCTTGGATTGTTTTCTGACCAATAGACAAGGATTACATTTCCTTATATTTTTAGTAAAATTCTTTAAAATTATAATTACTAATTCTACTGGTTTGGAGGCTACATACTGAGCTCATCATCAAAGATTCATCACAAAGAAATACCATTTTACATTGTCTTTAAAGAATCAGAGAGCTCACAGCTACCAGCTTTTTCTGTCAGTTTTGTATTTCCATAACCTAAGATACTGCTTGGCAAATAGAATTTCTAATGAACAAATGAGATTCAGTGATGTTGCTCACGTAAGAATAAAAAAATGCAGTGAGAAAAATGATATACTACAGGTTGATTTTAATGGAGTTGACCTCCTTAACTCTATTTACTGCTCTTGTCCCTAATGTTCCATCAGGCTTACAATTGCAAAAAATCAGCTGAAGCCTGGCTACAGTTTGGCTAATTCTTGTGCTGCATGAAGAAAAACTCACTTCTGCTTGAAATTACAGTTACTTCCTATGTGATTCATTCATAGGCAATATTCACTCATTCTGGCCTCAGCTATATTCTGTTGAGTAGGAATTTTAGTACTTTTTATCAAAGTGTAGCAAAAATTGCAGCTCTTTTGTTCTAAATGAAAACAAATTTGACATCTATGTTACTTTGCATGTTTACTTCCCCAAAAGCCCCTGGAAATAGACAATATTGCTATACTTTATTGCTTAAATTACACAGTCCCCTTGGTTCTCTGTTAACTACTTTATATGTATACATATATCTGTACTAAGATGTACTGTACTTATTTATTTCTGGTATACATGAAAACATGCACTATTTTTCAATATACTCATGTTATACAGTTCCATACATATTTACT